CTGTACACAGACACTGATAGAACACTTGAACATAGCACATGCCAGGCTAGAGGCACAGAGTTGCCGGGCCTGGTGGGAGGGAGGAGGCATTTATACCAGTGATCATCACACGTGCTCAGAGACTCGACTTCTAACTGAGGCATCAGGGAAGAGACAAGATTCAGATTTGGGTAGTGTTTGTTCTTTCTTCAACTTCAGAAGTTTTTAAAAGTTTATGTGTATTTGTCTTGTGTAGCATGTTCTGAAATATCTATACAGTGCAGAATACCTCCATCTGACGAACTTATGGATCCCTCACGTAGTTACTTTCGTGGTGAATTTTAAGAGTACAATCTCCTCTTAGTCTTATTTCTCTTGTCTAACTGAAGCTGTGTGCCCTCTGCCCAGCATCTCCCTCACCTCCCAGTCCACTAGTTTGAATTGAGGTGAGAAGGATGGAGAGGCTCACGAGAACTCTGGAGTTGTTGGGAACCTGGGACTCTGAGCAGAGGGTTGAAAGGTGTTATGGTCATTCCCATTTGGGGGGTACAAGAAAAGCCACTGTGAGCTTTCCTGTGTAGGCTTCCTGTTCACCTCGCAGGTGTGTACGTGTTGCATATTCTTCGTTCGATTGTTAAAGGAGACAGTGGGCAACCCAGCCACTCCGTAGTCAGTACCAAGGCTGCCATGCTGATATTTGAGAGAGTCCACATGACACCAGATGCTTTTTGGATTAAAGCATGAAACCCAACTCTCATTACTCATTTAGCTGCGTAGTTCTCCCAACTTGAACTCCACAGGCATACCAAATTGGTGTAGATCCTTATCACTCACTGGTTTTCATTTTTACTGTGGGTTTAGAAGTCTGTAGCAGGCCCTAGGACGTGCACTGCATGAGGCATCAGAATTGTTTTCTACTGGGCCCCAGGGTGTTGAGAGAAATAGGTCACCCTTCGCTCCTGAAATGGCGGTAGAAGGCAGTCCTGGGGCAGGTTGGGGGTGACAGTGGCACTTTCTTGACCCTATCTTTTTCTTTTTTTGGTACCGGGGATCGAACTCAGGACCTTGTGCTTGCGAGGCAGGCACCAGAACCACTGAGCTAAATCCCCAGCCCTAATTAACACATGTGATGGTGGAGGACTGAGATGAAATGATCTCCAGCACATACTACCATGCATACCAATCCTCCATTCTATTTCAGGCCTTTATCATTTACAGCACCAGTTTTCCAAATCTCCAGTGTTGAGCCGCTGTGGGTGAGGGCAGTGTTACTGTACGGTTTCCTGGGCTATTTTCTCCTCGCCGTCTTGGTGTAGTTTGTCCCTGCTCTGGGCCACTGCTCTAGCCATCTCTGCTCTGTGGCAGCGTGAACAGACCCCTTCCCTCGGTGCCTGGTTTGTCCTGTCCCCTCTGCCACACAGCCTGCAGGTGCCCACCTGCCGTCATATGGAAGCCAGCACTGGGGCTGGTTCCTTAGTTTGCTTTTCCACATTTAGGGCTCCTATTGATGAGCTCGTGGTAAGTATTTCTATACATAAAAGGCAGGATAAAGCAGTACTGGTGAGCCAAACATACATGTTTTTAATACATAAAACTACATGTTAATATTTTTATGTTTTATTTAAAAGATACTTGAATGTATTTTTCATATGTGTCTGTACATACATATAAATATGGATGTGTGTCTATAGTGAGAGACATGTTTTAGAGGAGTGAGCTGAGGGTGGGATTTCTCACAGCGTCCCTAAATTTTCAGCTCCTTTCCATGGATCTCTTTGGAATGCTTTGCTGGGAGGTTGTTTACTTTTCCTTGTTTGGTTACTCC